AAAAAATAAAAAAAAAAAAAGAGAAAGAAAAACAACAGTTTTAATACTATACCTGTAGTGCGGGCGATTTCACCCGCCATTGAACTCAATGGGGTTTTGGTTATATGCGGTTTTCGCTTTATGCACTAACCACGGAACGGAACCCCCGCGTAAGATGAGACAGACCTGTATATATATAAACAACACAAATATGCCAAAATATCATTTGATTGGGTAAATATATTCTAAAGAAATAGAAATTAAGTTCTTCATATGCGTGCAACAAGTGATTGTACATTTTTCTGCACATGCTTTTGAAGGTCTGGCCCTGTAATTTTGACAATAACAGCTTCTCAAGTATTAAGAGATGAAGGTGGTTTTATGATAAGTGAACATTACACACACACTGTTCTTTATACTTTCCAATAACTTACACTGGGGAAAGAAAATACTGTGGGCAAAATTCAGAGGCTATGTGTAAAGGAGGACAAGCTGGAGTAATGCATGCCTTCTTCTGGTCCCTCAGCATTTAACTTACACTGACTTGAATTTACTGTTTGATGTGTAACTTATACCCCTTTATTATACATTCTTACATTTTATTCTTGTGATTGGCATAATTAGGGAACCCAAACTGAGAAATCATAATGTTAGAATATTTTAATGGCATACTGTTATAAATATTAACCAATTTATTTAGACAGTAAGATCTTTGTAGCAAGTGCTCTGCTCGGTGCCACATTCCGGAATAACCACTGTTAGTCTCTTTTTCTAAATTCCTTATGTCAACAGGTTTCACGAACACTCCTGAAGGCTTTCCAGTATGCTTGGCCACTAGAAAATTCATAACAATATCATCACAGTTTTGAGTTTCATCTATCAAAGTGTGAACAGCATCAGGCTGCTTTTGAAAGAGTTCTAGGTATCCACTGTGAAAGAATGCTGCTCCTATGAGAACCATGGAGTACTGATCCCCATTTCCAAATCCAGGTGTCTGCAATTCAAAGCTGCCATAACTGTATATACCTGAAGAAGTGGAAACATGCTTTCTAGGAACAAATCCCACTATCTGATCTGGAAATTGCTGTAAGAAAAATCAAAAGATAGCAAAATTAAAGCTCCGCACTACAATCAAAATGTTAATCGATACACCAGTACAAAACCTCTTAATATAAGAATCCCTTATGAGGCTATTATTGATAGAGGTGCAAATTAATTGATATGAAAGATGCAGATAATATAAAATACACCTCTACCCCGATATAATGCGACCTGATATAACACAAATTTGGATATAACACGGTAAAGCAGTGCTCCGGGGGGGTGGGGCTGTGCACTCCGGTGGATCAAAGCAAGTTCGATATAACGCGGCTTCACCTATAAAGCAGTAAGATTTTTTGGCTCCCGAGGACAGCGTTATATCGGGGTAGAGGTGTAATCAGCTCTGCGGTCCGCTGGCCTGCACCACATGGAGTTTGTTGCAAGTTAATACAAAATGACCAGCAGAAACTGATACACTGCTTCACTCCACGTCATACAGTGCCAAGTAGCATCTGGCCAAAGTTAATTTGCATTCATGCATTTGGGATCAAAAATAAGCCTACAGATAATCTCTACACAGTCAAGAGAAATATTATTATTGATTTCTGGTGCACAGCTTTCAGATCAAATTAAATTTTCTCTGCTGCATTTAACCAATTAGATTTTCTGATATCTGTGACTTAGTAATTTGCTTTTTAAGCAGAGGAATGGTAAAAACATTGCTTATACCTGCAGTCTGTAATTTTGTATCATTAAAATATTATTCTTCAGTGTCTTGCCTTTTAGAATTTAGCTGATCATCTATATGACAGATGATAACAGCATGTCCTAGAAATAGCAACAAAGAACTGATTTAATCTTTCCATTTAGTAAAATTGATATAAACTCCATTATAAATATGCAGGATGCAATATATAAACATTACCTGCCAAACAGAGAAGGCAAAAGCAAGGTCATAGGCACTAATCAGTGTGTCATCATCCATCATTAAAACAGCTGAAGAGAGGAAAAAGACATTTTAATTTTTTAATTCAGGTAAAGAAAAATTTAAAATCATTAAGTGATAAATACAGGCAGTCCTCAACTTTATGATCTTCGACTTACGACAAAGGGCACATACGACGCTTCTAGATTGACACCCTGATTCGACTTACGACCATTGGTTTTGACTTTACGACCCTCGGTCCGCAATGGAGTGGATTGCAGTTCCGAGTTACGCTGTTTCAATTTACGACGCAATTTTCAAGAACCAATTGTGTCGTAGGTCCGAGGACTGCCTGTATGTGAGAATTTACCTGTGCTATATGCAATGACAAGCTAGCCAGACATCTCCTATGAACATTAGGATGAGCTGTATAGCTAAATCACCATGCACTAGGCTGAAAACGTATACTTAGATATTAAGGTTACAGGGAAAAGGATGTTTAACTTTGTAATTCTAACAGATGTTTAATTGACCTGAAGCACACATAATTTTTAGCACATTATTGCTATCATCAATCACAAACTATCACTGTAGCATTAAAAGTTGTGTAGCTGAACAGCTGTGCAGTGGAAAATCTAGGGGGGGGGGAGAGCGGGAAGAGCGGTTGGCAAAGGAATACAACAGACTTTACTAATTGCAGGTCAGGTTGCAGTCCTAATAGCTTTTTAATACTGTGTAAAGGACAACTATAAAAATCAAGGGAAAAAAATCAGATCCCATATAATCCATCATACCGGACAATATGATCTTCCACATAATAATTATTTCTTAACATCAAGGAAACACCAAGACATAAGTATTTCCATACCATTTCTCTGGGACCTAGACAGGCAAAAGTAGCATATTATATAGGCAAAAATTCCCTCTTATTAATTGCAGGATAAGGCCTGTTGCTTCCGATCTCTGGTGATCTTGGGCAGGGTGGTGGTGGTGGGGGGGGGAAGGGTTCACCTTCCTCTGCAGCATGGGATGCAGTCAACTGCAGGGATTAACTGGGTATATCTCACTTAATCTGTTTCCTGACATTGCAGAAGTCTTAGGCATTCATGCACCTCTGTCGCTCTTGTTATCTCCCTGTCACATGTAATAGTCTAGTTTCATGTGTAATACTATGATCGAATTTCAGTTGTTGGGTTTGGTATGTGAGTGCTGGGTGGAGTTGATGGGTAGCCTATATACAGGGAATCAGACTAGATTGATTTTGTGGTCCTTTCTAGCCTTGTATGAGATCCTAGAATCTGAAAACATGCTGCATGTAGAGGTGAAAGCAGGATGCAAGTAGGTCAGTTCCTCAGGGAGGAAACATAGTGGTGTGCTGAGCCCTTTAAGGCAATGGTATGGCTCAGTGCAACCCTGATTAAGCAGCAGGGCATTCTGGGGGCTGTAGTGATCAGAGGCTTTCTGGGAATTTTAGGTTGAGTAGCAATGTATGCTAGCATAGGGGGTAGTGAAATAAAAGTTTCCTTTATACAAACAAGAAAGAGACCACAAAAGAGGTGGGATGTATGCATCTTTTTACTTGAAGGAAACAGGACTTGTTGTTGGGTCTCTCCTGCAAAAAGTTGAGGAAGAGGCCTGGATGAAAAGCCAAAGGGCAGGGAAAAATACCTGGAGAAGAAGCAGTGATTTGGGCTAAAGAATCAGACTGGGCTAAGGAGGGAATATAGAGAGCAGCATATGCTTTTGGATTTCCACCAAAGGGCTGTAGAACAGAGATGGGCAAACTACGGCCCACGGACCACATCTGGGCCGCAGGACCCTCCTGCCAGGCCCCCAAGCTCCTGGCCCAGGAGGCTAGCCCCCGGCCCCTCCCCTGCTGTCCCCCCTCCCGCGCAGCCTCAGCTCACTGCACCGCCAGCACAATGCTCTGGGCGGCGGGGCTGTGAGCTCTTGCCTTGCCACGCAGCTGCAGAGCTGTGGCCTGACCCGGTACTCTGTGCTGCGCGGTGGTGTGGCTGGCTCCAGCCGGGCAGCATGGCTGCCTGTCCTGGTGCTCTGGGCACCGCGGCTGTAGTGCCGCCAGCCACCGGTGCTCCAGGCAGCGTGGTATGGGGACAGGGATTGGGGGGGTTGGATAGAGAGCAGGGGAGTTTGGGGGGTGGTCAGAAGGCAGGGAACGGGGGTTGAATAGTGTCAGGAGTCCCGGGGGGCAGTCAGGAATGAGAGGAGGGGTTGGATGGGGAGAGGCGGGGGGCAGTCAGGGAACAGGGAGGGGTGGATGGGGCAGAAGTCCCGGGGGGGCCGTCAGGGGGCGAGAAGCAGGGAGGGTCGGGCCATGCCTGGCTGTTCGGGGAGGCACAGTATCCCCTAACCGGCCCTCCATACAATTTTGGAAACCCAATGTGGCCCTCAAGCCAAAATGTTTGCCCGCCCCTGCTGTAGAAGAAGGCATGTGAACCCCTGTACTGATTTGGACTTTTTTTAATGTTAGTTTTGTTGGATTAGGGAGGAATTTTGGATTTGTCTGGAAAGTTAATCTAGTCACCTTTGCCTGAAAGAGGAAACTGAGATAGCAGTCACATTTCCATGAGTACAGCAAGCGCCCTCCTCCCATTCTCTCCTCCACCCAGTGCTTCTAATACAGCCTCCGAGGGGCAGAGGGTATCTAACATCCATGCTACAGGATCTCCATTTGTCCTGCTGCTTACATCTTCCCTGCCGCTGTTTTCTGCTAAGTAGAATTGCTCAACATCTGCTGGATTCAGAGGTTTCTGGATTCATTTAGTCAGTGGGATTTTTTCCATAATGATAAAATATGCAGTTGTTCTGAGTGATATATAAAATAAGTGTCCTGAAAAGTGGAATTAATATTGTTAGCAACAATGCTACGTATAAGAATGAGGCATTCATTACCTTTTGTTTCCAATTCAGGGAAGATCTGGAGTCTGTTCCTCATGCGATTCACGGTCTGCACTTTGAAGACAACAGGTACAGGATGGGGTCCCAGGGAATTCCACATTTCCTCTGGTGTCTTCTCCCCAACATTGTTCCACACAACCACCACTTTGTGTAGATGGGGGATGGCTTGATAATGATTTAAGAGCTTCAACAATAAGTCAGTTCTATTGTATGTCTGCATAACAAGAGTAAATGAATCCAAGGCGGATTGGCTCTGGGATTTTGGTTCCCTTCGCAAATTGGGCATTTTGTCATCTTTAATGTTAGGAAGCAAAGCCATTAAAGCACCTGCCACAAGGAGTAAGACAAAGATCACCACAGAAGAGAAGCGAAGTAGTCGGATTCCCATAACTCTTCCTGGTAGCTTACAGATGTGATGACATCTTTATTAACAAAAATTGAAATGGGAAGAGAAAATTCATCAATCGTCTCCCTACATATTTGTCAGTTCAATGTAAAATTAACATGGACCTCACTCTTTCTCATAGGGCAGGTACGCAGGGAGGATTCTTTGTTGATGCGTATCCTAGGTAAACTTTTTAAATTGTTATGTACTTTTGCTCTCTTTTATTCTCAAGACAGATATGAGTCAGATGCAACTTTCTAAGCTTGCTACTGATCAATAAAGATTATTAAAAAACAACTAGTGGGTGATATGCTGGGAGTGGCTTTTTGTTTTGCTTAAGCAGAAGCACCCCTCCCCCCATTGATTTCAGTGGGGAGTTCTGTTTAAAAATTGGTGGCATGTGATGATCCTTCATGTTTAAAACCCTAAAGAAAGTATTTAAAGTTTACAGGGATGTTACTTTCCTCTGGATACAATAAATGCAAGCACTTAATTAATTACATAATATATAGACCAGTTTAGAAAATATTAGGGTGAAACAATTTAATAAAGTCATACTTTTAGTTTTAAAAAAATGTACTTACCTCATTTTTGCCAAGTTGGACTGGGTTTATTTTGGTCTGTTTTAAAGGATGGTGCTGATTAGGTGAAATCAATTCTGCATGGATCTGTTGGAGGTGAAAGGAATTATGTAACTTTTGATCATGCATTTGCTCACCGACCACCCAAGATCCTGTCACAATCATATATGTTTGTGTATAAGGCAAGTGTTCATCTCAACAATCGATGAATGTACACATTCTTGGCAACTGTCCATCTTTTCCTGTTGTTTAGCTGAAGAGTTTTCATTGGATTTCATGACCACTATAAAAATGCATTGCTAAACCAGTATGTTAGAAAGAAAAAAGTTCTTACCTCAAGCATATTTAGCTGCTCATTGCAGTATTATTTATTTGTATTACAGTAACACTTACAGGCCACTTACAAACAACACAGGCCCCCGTGTTGCTAGGTAGTCTGGACGAGCTTACGATCTAAATAAACAAGATAGGGTGGAAAGAGAAACAGAGGCACAGAAAGATGACGTGACCTGCCCAAAATGAAACATCAGGTTGGTGACACAGAGCTATGAAAAGAACTCAGGTGTCCTCAATCTCAGTCCAATATGCCGTATCCACTAGTCCACATTACAGTACATCGTAGGCTACCATAATCACAGCTGGTTCAGGTGATAGTCTCCCATTTTTCCGGTGCATACCTTTCATGTTCTCCATCTCGCACGTTTATTGGTTGATTTAGAGGTTAAAGGGGAAGCATGTATGGTGATCAGTTGGTTTTACGATTTTTCCCATCTCATCTGAAGGCAGGTTAGGTGGGGATGGCAATAAAAGTTCAGGGGCAAGGGGGTAGGTGGGATGGTAGCAAAAGTGGAAGAGCAGAAAGGAAGGATGGTCTTGTAGTTACAGTACTAGATTGCAGTCCAGGAGATCCAGGTTCAGTTCATAGTTTTGTCACAGATTTCCCATAAGACATTGGACAGGTCACTTGTGCCAGTGAAGGAACTAGGGGTCTCCCTGCCTGCAGACCATTGCAGGATTGGGGCCTTAATCTCTCTGTCTAGTGGCATCCTCATTTTATAGAAAGGGAAATACTTCCCCTCCCTCTCTCTATTTAAATTATTAAATTAAGTTATTTGGGGAAGGGTTATTTACACTCTGTGTTTGCACTGTGCCTAGCACAATAGGGCCACAATTTTTGTTGGCGCCTCTAACTAGCACTCTAACACAAATAGTTAATAATAAGGGTGAGCACTCTATGGCTATCTGTGAACTGCAGAGGTAGCATTTTCCATTGCTGTGAATCAGAGTGAGCATTTCATACATTTTGGATGGAAGCCAATCATAGAAGTATAGGATGGGAAGGGACCTCAATAGGTCATCTAGAGTCCAGTCCCCTGCTGTCAAGGCAGGACTACGTAGAACGAGAACAATTTTTCACCCTCCTTCTTGTAACAACCTTTTATGTACTCGAAAATTGTTATGTTCTCCCCCTCCCCCCATCTTCTTTTCTCCAGACTAAGAGGAAATTAGCGAGGGTTTTTTTTTGTTAAATCGGTCTGTGTGAGGAACATAGATACCTCCTTCTATGTTTGGACAACAGAAATATGGAAACTTAGAAGAGGAAGAGCTAGCATTAAGTTGTTGAACCTATGCTTCCATATCAACAAAATAACTTATTTTAGGTTATATAAACTTTACTGATAGAAATGCAAATTGGAAAGTCTGTATATTTACAGCACAGTCTAGTGATCTGAACATGTGATAGGCAGTCAAGACCTCCTGAGTTTAGGTTCTGGTTCTGATTCTGTGTGGCCTTGAAGAAATCACTTACACCGTTTTCAAAAGTGACCACTGAGTTTGGTTGCCTCAATTTGTGGGGGTCCAATTTGAGACACCATTGTGCCTAACTTTTGGAAGTTCAATTCCTAATTAAATCAATAGGAGCTGCAGCTTCTCAGAACTTGTCATCCCAGAAGTGTTTCAAGATGGTCTCCAGAAAACAGATACAGCTGAAATCAATATGAATTTTTAAAAATGTGGATCTTAAATTGTATCTCAGATTCCCTATTTTCAAAACAGGCATTGTGATACTTGCCAAGATTGTTGTGAAGATTAACTAGTTAATATTTTAAAGCACATTGAAAATGCAAACATAAATGCTATGTGCTATTTTAAAACTTTTGGGTTTCTGTACATTTGTGTTTACTTAATGACATACAATGGTCTGTAAATGATAAATAAGGATATCACAGATGAATCGAGATTCAAGATATTAAATTAGAATTAGTATCATGGTGCTTTCATGTATGAATATGCTGAACAATGCAGCAAAGTAGGATATAAAATTCCACTACAACGGTATTGGGCTTCTTCCCATATTCAAAGACTCAACCTTCCTTTGTAAGGAATATTTACCTCTTTTAAACAGAAATAAAATACAAAACAAATACTGAGAAAGTCAAGATATGCAATTTTAACCCTCCTTTTAAGAAAGAATTCTTCTGAAGCTGCTGTCTCTCTGCCTACACAGTATCCCCCTACCCATTCTAATAATCAGCATTCATTTTATGAAAACAGTTCATTAAAAAAACCAAATAAATTAAATTATTCAAAGAATAGCCACTTCACATCGTTGTCCAAATTTAAAATACCTTCCATATTATTGCATTTTATTGTATCCTTACCTAGAATGCTGGAGACCGTGAGCCAGGCAGCTTATTTGTCTAAGCCTTGATTTACATGAGGAAGAATGGAGATTTTTTTAACCGAGCATAAGAAGTCTGCACATTTTTTGTAAACTCAGTTAACTTGCACTGGTTGTATTTTTATGTCAACAACATTGATAGAAAACCCCTCCTCTCCTCATCCCAACATAAGAGATTAAGCAGAAGGGCTGGAACAAGCCCGTATTACCTTCCCTTTCTGTGGCATAGTACTTCCTGCTGGATGAAAACACTCCTCCTCCCAGCAGGCTCGAATTTGTAGTTCATGCTTTATCCCGACCATAACAGTTTGTCTCAACTCTTCTTTCAATCAAGCTTTGATTCTTACAGAGAGTCAGATATTTTTTGCATGTGTTTGTTTTCAGTGTCACAGATGGTACCCATCTGTTTTATGGGAGGAGAAGTTCACCTTGAAATATACCTGAGAATGTATAAAACTAAATTTCCCTTATTTCTCTTACAGTCTCTATTATTAAATCTCTTACTCATTCCCGTTCAAATACAAATATTTCTCTATAGATAGCGGGTCAGACAGAAAAGCAAGATATAATAATTATGTGAAGTTCATTTAGATAGAAAATAAAAGGGAAATCTATGTATCTAACCTATTCACGCCTTCGCTGATACAAATACTATTCTACCGTGTAGGATATTATAGTACAGTGAGGATTTTGCAACCACCTTCGGTAGTTTTTATTTAGTAACAACATAATCTTTCAAGAAAGTGTTAGGATTTGACTGCCTCGGAGAACGCTGTATAAAATGCATACAAATCAAATAGCTAAAGAAATTGCTGTATAGAATGCGTCCCTGGACTGGTGTGTGTGTTGGCGGAGGGAGGATCCATACAGCTTCTCTCGCCTATCAAAAGATGAAAGTGATCTGCAAGCAAATTATTGATTTTCCTGAACTGCGCTTTCAAGCTGCGGTGTCTAGGGGGCTGGGTCAAGCAGCGAAGCTATGCAGTAAAAAGAGGATCATTTTGATTTAGGAAGGAGGTACTTATGGGCGCACCACAGAGGATTCTGGGTGGTGAGAGAGGACAGACTCAAGGAAAGGTCATTTTTTGAACATCCAGGAAAGGATTCGGGACGGAGAAGTGTAGCTGTAAATGGCTGCAGCAAGGAGGAACGATCACAGGCATGTCTCCTCCGCAGGCTCTGGCTAAAGGAGCTCAGCTGCGAGCCACAGCACATCCACAAACAGCCCAGCCTACCCGGGCCCGCCGGGAATGGAACACGCCGGCAGGCTCAGACACCAGCTTCCCCTCACACATCCCCGCCCCTTCCGGTTAGAGTCTGGGGTCATTATCCTGCCAATCGCCCGCCTCTCCTGGTCTAGCTCTGCCCCCAAACATGGAACTGGGTTTCTGGCCACGCCCACTCTCCCTCGTGGCGCCTGCGCAGGCGCAGAGCAGGTGCCGGAAGTGTCGGAAGCGGATCCCGGCGCGGCGAAGGGGCGCTGCAGCCGCGCCGCTCCCAGCCTGCTCCGCTCCTTGCCGGGGTCGTCTGCGCCCGGAAGATGTTGCCTTTGTCCATCAAGGACGATGAGTACAAACCGCCCAAGTTCAACCTGCTCAGCAAGGTCTCGGGCTGGTTCAGGTGAGCGGCGGGGGCCGGGCCTGGGGGGTCTCCCGGGGCGCGCTCCCCGGGGCTGGGTGGGGGGCAGTGGCCGGGATGGAGCCGGCGGCCCCAGGCCTCGGCGGGGGCTCTGTGCCTGGAAGCCGGGGAGCGGCGCCCTAGGGACCCCGCCACCTGCGGAGGGAAGGGGCGGGGGCGGCGGCTTCGCGCTGGGCCGCCATCCGGGGTCACGCTGTCAGCTGCCGGGCCCTGGCCGTGCCCCGCGCCGCGGTTGCCCTTTCCGGGGCCGCGGCAGCGAGTGATCGCTGTGCCCTTTGTCTAGGTCCATCCTGTCCGACAAGACCTCGCGGAACCTGTTCTTCTTCCTCTGCCTCAACCTCTCCTTCGCTTTCGTGGAGCTGCTCTACGGCATCTGGAGTAACAGGTACCGGCGCGGGGGGGGCGGCTCCCGCAGCAGCCAGTGCCACGTCTACTGAGCCGCTGGGGCCGCAGGCTTGGAGTGCGAGCACCGGCAGGCAGGGTTTACGGGCGGGGGTGTCCCTGAAGTGGGGGAGATTGAGTCGGGGGAGGTCAGGGGCTCTGACAGCCCCCCCCCCTCCAGCTACCATCAGTTTCAGGGCCATGCTTGTCTCTCAAGCTCCCAGGAGGCAATGGCTCTGGGTCTCAGATTGATAACCAGGCTTGACTGAGGCTTTTGAATTATTGAAGAAAGATTCCCACAGCATTGGCTTCGTGATGGAGGGGCTGTGATTGCCCCTTCCCTGACATTGCACCCTGCTAGTCTGAGCTCCTGTCTACACCTGGGAGTTAACTCGGATTAAGGAAGGGTGTGACTTGAAAGGTGTATAATGGCCATGCTTAGACAGACCCCAGAAATTAGGTATAAAAATTACATAGCCAGTGCTGGTCTCCTGGGTCCATCTTTCAGGTATTATCCTGCATATTGCTGAAGAGGGCTTCTGACCCCATCTCCTCTGCTGTGTCTGCTGGGTTCAGGGCAGAGGAGTAATGGTGGCTTTGGGGTGCACTACACCATTTGGGGATTGCTGCAGTTGCCCTCCCCCCTCCTCCACCTACCACATGGATCCTTTATCTTGAAAGGTGGAAGTGTTGATAAACTGATAGCCAAGAGGCAGAAGCAACACTGCATAGAGTGCCCTTATCTTTGTATCCGTAAGTGGAGTTGAAACATCCTGGAATAGGTAAACAATATGCATCATTAACTCATAGACTCATAAAGCTAGACAAGACACAGACAGGACAAAAGCTTAAGAATCAAAATGAAATACTTTAATAGTAAAAATTGAAATAAAAAAAGTGAAGTGACTTTGGTGCTGGTTTAAGGTGCTCACCAGTGTAAATAGAAATAATCTATCCCCTTTAAAAGGAAGTGTACAAACAATGACATTTCTTTGCACCATGGATGTGCCTCTCTGTTGATAGAGGGACTGTCCTTAAGATGAGAGATTTCAGTCTTTGTATTCATTCAGGTTTTGGATTCTACAGAGACTGACCACAAAGGTGTCAGCTAGTGCCAATAGTGGGTCCCTGCTTTGTGAACTCAGATTTTGGTTTGATTTCACAAACCGTAAAAGGTCTATTAGACTAACAGTTTTCTATTGTGGGCCTTACTTGAAGCACTAACCTAGAGGTGAAAAGCTCTCTTTCCTGTTACCCTTTTATGATTGTTTTTAAATGTCTCTCTAAACATATGGTAAAATCCTTTGCTTTCATCAAAAGAGTTGCTGCTTCGCCATTGTTTGGATGGCACAGAACGGCAATTAATCGTTTAGATTTGCCTGACTTTGGCTTTGTAGTTATTTTGAGAATTGTGACTAGTTAGCTGTGGGCATAATTAGACTATTCTGGTGTGGAGGAAGGATTAATGTTAGAGATTTCTAAAACTGATCTTTTGAAGGATGTATAACAGAGCCAGGTGATCAAAGGATTTCAAATCTGATACTTGATATTGTTGCCTTAGGTGTGTCCGAATATTCTGCTCACGTCTCTGTCCTAATGGGAGAAGCTAAGAGCAAAATCTCAGATGTTGGAAATGTTCACTAGAAAAGATGTGGTCGGAGAGGTTTTCATGCTCCACTATTTTTGTTCCCACACAAGTTTATCTGACCCATAAGTTTATCTGAATTTGTGTTTGATCTTTGTGAGTAAGCATACATTTAAGCCTTGTGTGTGGTATAAAATGAATCAAGATCAGGGAATTTGTGTTTTCAGGTGATAAAAGTTTGACAAGTCTGTTAATGATGTAGGTAGGCACTATAGGACTGATTACCATAGCCCAGAATTTTCCTTTCCTTTGTGGGTTTATGTTGGAACATTAACACTTTTATATTTTACATTTCTTACTGCCTCTCATTTACATCAGTTGAAGATTTAGACTTGCATTAAAGTTATTGTGTTAT